CTTTGCAAATGACCTTTTCCTTTTCGAATAGGCTAACGTAGATCAAATGGAAGTCATTAATGACTATCTTGACAAGTTTTGTAAAGCCTTAGGGCACTTGGTGAATAAAAGAAAAACATATATGTGTGTCTCCAAGGCTTTCCATTTCTTTAGAGTGTTGAATTTGAGTAAAGTTATAGGTATTAGGCTTACTAATGATCTCGAGAAGTACCTTGGAGTCCTTATCTTGCATAAAAGAGCCTCTTATAATTACTTCAAACTTATCTTGAGTAAGGTTCATAAGAAATTGTCTGGCTGGAAAGGCAAACTCTTAAGTTTTACGGGTTGATCTATGCTCATTAAATCTATTCTGACAACCTTACTGAACTATCACATGCAAACCATGCTCCTCCTAAAAAGCTACTGATTGATATTGAAAAAGCTAATAATAATTTCCTTTGGGGTTGTTGTGATGACAAAAAGGAAAATGCACTTGGTGTCTTGGGATATAGTGAAGCTAAAAAGAAATGAAGGAAGATTAGGGGTGAAAGACCTTGCTAGTCAAAATCAAGCTTTCATCTTTAAGCTTTATTGGAATTTAGAAACCAATAAGGAAGCCTTGTGGGTTAGAGTTCTGAAGACCAAGTATAAATGTGAAAATGAAACTCTTCCATCAGTTTGTAAATGAAAACACTCCTTTAAAACCTAGACTAGCATTAACAAAGTTTGAGAGAGCTTTTAAGGAGGGCTTGAAAAGAGACGTATCCTTGAAAGAACTTCCAATTTCTAGTGTGATAACTGGTCTACCATTAATCAACCATTGATTAGAGTTGCTCAAAATCCTACCCTGCCGGTGGACCTAGATATGGCAATTGAACAATTCATTAATCCAAATGGTGGTTGAAACCATACTAAAATGATGAAATGGCTTGATTACTTTATTATTAGTTGAATCACTAGTTCTAGCCCATCCAGTGAGAGGAGAGGGAGAGAAAAATTTATATAGAAGCCATCCACTGATGGCTCTTTTAACATCTCTTTTGCTTATGATTTCCTTGCTGCAGGTATATCTTTAGAAAGAATCAAATCTAGACAAAAATTGGGAAATGGAACATACCAGAAAAGATCAAAGCCTTCCTGTGGCTCCTTGGGAAGGATAGACTTCACACAAGAAGTTTGTAGGCCAAAAAGGGAATAGTTGACTCCTCTTTATGCCCATTAAGATTCAGAGCGGAGGAGACTACTATGCATATTATTAGTGATTATAGATTTGCAAAAGAAGTATGGATGCATCTAGTTAAACCTGAGCTTTAGTCCAACTTCATCAAATTAGATTTCCTTGAATGGATTAGATGGAACTCTTCCAATCTATCAAGTCTCAACTCCAACTCAAGCTTGTCTTGGATAATAATTTTTGCTTATATGCGCCGGGATCTTTGGTATACCTGTTACAAGAATCTTTTTATCCTTCAGATCTTTATATTTAGCAAGACCTGAAGAAGACCGATTCTAGATGGCTAGGGCTACTCAACAACTCTCATTCAAGGTCACCCTGTACAAGAAATTAGACCCTTCCCTCTCATGGTGCAGTTAGACTTGATGTTAGTGGATTCTCCCTTAACGGAGTTGTTACTTGTGGTGGTTGCATTATCGATGACAATGGAGGATGGTTGGTAGGGTCTAATTGTAAACTTGAAAACTATCCATCTACCATTGTTGAAGTCTTAGGAATTTATGAAAGCCTTGAACTTTGTTGGTCTAAAGTTTTAGGCATATGGAAGCCTATTCTGACAATATTGAAGCTATCAACCTCATTACTAGAGGTTATCCTGAAGGTCACCCTTACCACGATGTTATTTAAAAAGCATGTAATCTCCTTTACTGTAATTGGACTATTTCCATTAATTTTATTTTCAGAAATGTCATTAGTCATGCTCATTCTCTTATTAGGGAAGCTCATTTTTTGAATAGCGCCTTTTGCATCTTTGATCATGCACCACTTGACTTTACATTAGGAGGTGAATAATGATTGAGGTTTGCTTCCTCTAATTTTGTATTAGGTGCCTTGTACTGTTTCTTTTCTTGTTTTAAATGAATTCCAGCTTTTGATTAAAAATATGACTTTTGACATCAGTTCACAGGCATATTATTCCAGGGATATGGAAAATCTATTTTTACATCAGTTATAAATAACTAATGTAGAAAGTTATTTAAATTTTTTAAAAATAAATTAATACCTCACTTTTTATATCGGTTATAATCACAAGCAATGTAGAGATTAATTTTCTACATCAATTGTAACCATAATCAATGTAAAAAATGAGTTTTCTACATCGATTATTGTTACAACTGATGTAGAAAATCAACTTTCTACATTAGTTATGGTGACAACGATATAAAAAGCAATTTTTTTATATGTGCATAATATATTTTTATACACTACCCCATCCATGTACACAAAAATAACCAACCAGACAGTAGAATTCATATAAAATTTTTATTCAGACGACACAATCCATTTTAATTATCTAAAGCTATCATCTATCTGACATAATTCATTTACAATTTGCAAGAATTAAACTTGTCATAATCAACTAAACACAAGGTATTACAAAACTTTCCTAAAGCCAACAAATTTATTAAAATTGTCTATAACTATCTAAACTTGCAAACTCTTTATAAAGGCTATATAAGTTATTCTTTATTGTTTGTCTATTTCTCTACATAATTGATGATTGAATAAGTTCATAAAGTATTAAACTTACTTACGTTTAGCCCAATCCACATAGGATCCTTGAACTCATATGCATGCTTTCAAGAACAATTGATATATTCTCATTGCCCTATATATGAGTAAAATCATGAAGTTATTGACTAATATATTCATAAATAAAATTAAAATTGATAGTTTTGAACTAGTATAAAATAATGGATTTCAAGAAAACTCCACTCAGCTGGTGATTTTAAGAAAAACATGTTTGTCACTACATATATTCATCAGCACCAAAACATAATTGTAATTGATTTGAAGAAGATGAATTTTTCAAGTAATGAAAAGAAAAGAAAAACAAAAATAAGACCAGAAAGTATATATATAATATATATTGTTAAATCTATCAGAATATTTAAAAGTGATATATATTGAAATCATAATCATGATTTTTCTTTAGCTAGCACTATTAAATCTATCTAAGCCCTTAAACTTAATCCTTATAATCATTATTACACTTATATCATTTATTTAACATCTACAACCTCAAACCATCATAAAATTCATTCACTTAGTCTAGGGTTTCATATTTAATCTCCTATTATCATAATTACCACCAAAGCAATCTAAATAACACTTATTTAACCTCAAAATCACCATAAGATTTAGACCCAATGGTTGGGTATTCTCAAAAATAAAAATCCTAACCATAAACTCTACAAAAATAGCTTAAAGAAGATATTAGAGGGTAAGAATAAGATCAAATAAGCTTACTTTACTAATTTGAGCCTTAAAAAGTGCTTGGAATCAATGCTTCCAGTAAACCCATGAGCAATTAGTTGAAGAAAGCAACACGAGCACATATGAAAATGGAAAAGACAAAGAAGTGAGAGGGAGATTTTTGAAGAATGAGAGCTAGGGTTTCAAGAAGAGGATGATAATAGGTAGGAAGGATCAATATCATTAAAGACTTGTGATTTTGAGCAAGGAAAATGGTGAAGATTGAGGAGAAAGTTATGTCAATGAGTGACAAATCGTGAAAAATGACATGTGTGTGAGAGGAGGAAGATGATGTAGAAATTTAAAAGATATTTTACATTAGTTTTCTAAGAAACCAATTTTCTACATCGATTATAATTATAATCAATATAGAAAGTTAATAATTTTTTTAATTTTTTAAATTTTAATCGCTTTTTATATCGGTTGCTTAATCCATATAAAAAGTCTTTTCTACATTAGTTCCTTAAAAAACTAATGTAAAAAGTCTAACAATAAACTGATAATTATAAATTACCACCGCTTTGATTGTCTACATCATTTTCCTATTAATCAATGTAAAAAGTTAACTGTAAAAAGCCAAATCTATACTAGTGGGGTGTTTATATTCTTAGCATGCATGTTTGGTATTAGTCCTTTTTTTCCTCCTCATTCTTTAAGTTTCATCTGCATGTAATGTTAGTTGCTATTGTCATTGACAAAATTAAACAAGTTGATGTGTATTTTTTTTGGTTAAATTAAAAAAATTATGATGAGTTTGATATTTTATGAACAAAAAAAAAAAATACTAACCTTTGCCATTTTACCCTGATTGATGTCTCTTTTTTGCTTATCATGGTTTTAAGGAATCAATCATCATCATCAATCAATCGAGATATATTATCATATATATTAACAAATTTGTAGAAGTCTTCTGATTGGCCAGAAACTTTTACATATCATTGGTCAATTAACTTTAATATAATTTTAATTCTTTTCTATTATTGATTGATTTTATTAAAGAAAATATTTTGATTGGTCAACGATATTCAATTTATTTTTTTATTTTCACCTTCATGGAGCATTAACTTCACGAGAGTATTAATTTCTAGGGAGTTGCAGGCGCATTTTCAAATTTCCAATTCTAATATAAAATTCGAGATTTAGGGGCTATTAACTTCATTCATATCCATTACACTTTCCCACGCCCTTCAATTTCTTTAATCGTTAAGAGTTTCAATTTTTCCATAGATCCCTTACTCAACGTCGCTCGACTCCCTTAGTTCATCTTCTCAGTCACGTCCTTCCTTCCTTCCTTCCTTTCCATGATTCATTGTAATTTCAATTTCTCTATAGATCTCTTTAACCATTTTCACCTCGCTCCCGTGTCGTGCTTCAATTCCAGGCAAGCTTTGTCATTTCACTTCTTGACCTTCTGGCAATCTGCTTCATTCTGGTTTGTCAAATCATTATTGTTAATGACCATTCTTTGATTATAACATCAAATCAAAGTTCTTGTTTTCAGGAAGTAGTCTAAATTACCTTTTTTACAATTTTCTGAAGTCAAACCGTCATGTTTTTCACAGCAGACGTGAGGATTTTCATAAGCTTTCCTCATCTCATTGGTTTTTATCTTTTAACTTCTCTTTTAATGGTTCAGAACCGAAACACTTTGCCTTCTATCGGTGCTCTGTCGGCAATTTCTTCTGCAGTCTCCCAAGGTGATGTGAAACTTTATTCGACTTCTACTATTCTTCTGTTGCTCTTCCTCTACTTTGTTAGTTCATAGTATATGGTTGGTAGTAGTGAAACCCAACTTTTGAATAATTTGTACTTTCTATTTTATAATTGTGAAACCTACCTTTTAGCACTTGCTTTTTAGGTGAGCATGCCAATATATTGATGATAACCAGTTCCTTCTAAACCACCCTGGTGCAGTGCCCATCACCGCGGCTCAAGTATATGCTGCTGCTTTTATATGTGCCCATTATTCTCATAAATCCCTGGATGCATATAAAATAAAGTATGTCGCATTATATTCCATTTAACTAACTAATTATGACTTCTTCATATAGAAACTTGAAGTCACGCTGGGTGCAAATTCATGTTGATAGATTGATATGATTTCCAGTAATTATAATTATAAATAGCTTGAGAGAATTGCAATCACATACTGCCACGAATGGGCTTGATTATAAGGGGCTTGACCCTGTAGGGGTCCAGAATCAAATTACTAATGATGGGTTACTAGGGAATGTTGAGTCAACTAAGAAAGTTGAGGCTTACGACTGTTCACTTGAGGAGGACATGCAAGCCCAAGTGCCTACCATGCCAACGGTGCTACGTAGAAGCAGCCGCTCAAGGAGAATCATGTGGAAGTTGAGAAAGGTTAGGGAGGGATAGGGAAGTTATATAAAGAGGCTGAGGATTTGTTAGAGTGTGTTCTTTTTGAGTGATTGATTCTTCTTTGTTATCCCACAAGTTTTCTCCCTTCTGTAATTCTCCTCTCTTTCTTCTGTTTTCTCCTCTCTGTGACTGAACTTCTCATAAATAATACCTTGAGCTGGATGATATTCTATTGTTTTTGTTATTTTAATTGCATGAGATGTGACAGAATGTGCTTTTGTCGAGAGTTAAATCACTGCCATGGTAGAAAATACATGTTTATGCGAGCTAACCAATGACGTGAAGAATTTAGGTAGTGACCTCCAGAGCATACGGGAATGTGTAGAACGATTGGAGAATGCTAACAATGCTCGGATGGAATGCTTGGAGATAGCTTATGGAGATTTGGCATGACATCTTTCCCTGCAAAAGGATGCGATGGACGTTCTTGCAGACATACTGCTTATAGCTCCCAACCCGAGAATTGAGAAGATAAAAACGCATCTGGAAGTTTTGAAGTAGATGACGGACAATTTGAATCGTAACAATCCACTAGGCACTGGTTTTGGCAAAAATTCTTTATCAAATCATAACCAAAATTATGGCACTCCTCAACACCAGGTAAAAATAGATTTTTCGCATTTTGATGGAGCTGACCCAGCTTGATATTTCATGCAGAACAATATTTTTCCCTCTATGCAATGACGGACCCACAACATATTATCATGGCTTCGGTGCATATGGAGGGAGCCGCAATGCCATGGTTCCAAATGATGTTAAAGTTAAAACATATAACTACCTGGGCAAGTCTCACTAGGGCAGTGGAGATACAGTTCAAACTAGCCCAATTTGAACACCCTCATTCACAGTTGTTCAAATTTACCCAGACGGATATGCTGGAGGCATATCATCAGCAATTTATGACCCTGGCCAACTGTATAGAAGGAATTTTAGATGAGGCATTACTGGATTGTTTTGTAGGAGGGCTTAAGCCTGAGCTAAGAAGGGAGGTGATTGCTCAAACTCCTGATGATTTGTTGCAAGCTATTGGTTTTGTGAGATTGTTTAATGACAAGTTGACCTCAATGCCTTTTTCAGATAAAGGGAAAGCGGTGATGACTGAAATTAGTGGAATGATGCCGTTGAGCGTAAGATTGCTCACTACAGTGCCTGCTTCATCTCACACCAGTCACATTAATTCAATGCCATCAAAGAACTCATCGATGTTGCCCTTGCTACCTACGCCCAATATGAAGCCATTAGTTCCAGTTCGCAAAATAAATCCGGTTGAGATGCAAATCAGATGTGAGAAAGGTTTATCTTATACGTGTGATGAGAAATTCACATCGACTCACAAGTATGCCAATTGTCAATTCATGTGGTTGCAGATTGATGAAGAGTAAGACGTCCCAAAACTACCTCTTCCACCCTAAAAAGACCCACCAAGGGACGTAACGGCCACATGCCATCATATTTCTTTGTAGGCTTATAACGGAACAGGGGGTAATACTACCATTCATTTTTCCAGTCAAATTAATGGAGCCACGGTGCAAGTTTTGCTTGACGATGGCATTTCTGATAGCTTTGTACATCCACGAATAGTAGATCATCTCAACCTACCCGTGGAGCCAGTTCATCTAATACGGGTCTTTGTAGGGAATGGGCAAGTTATGAGGGGTATGGGCCTGGTTCGAGTATTACCCATAACCATTAATGGACATATGATCCACATTTTAGCTTGTGTTAGAGACAACAGGGTTAGATGTTGTAATTGGGTCTTCATGGCTGGCTACATGGGGGCCCCATGTAGCAGATTATAGCAATGCTTCAATTAAATTCTTAGACTAGAGAACTTTGTGACTTTGAATGCACTTTCTCAAGCCCCTTGTACAATGGCCCAATTCCATCAATTCCATCATTTATAAGATGCGGGAGCTGTCAACTCTGTATTTTTTCTTCAACTAAGGTCCTCGATACAAAGACACGTGTGGAAGTAGATGAAGTCCCACCTGATCTTGAGGCACTTTTAGCAGACTATCATTCAGTTTTTGACGGCCCACATAGCCTTTCCGGTCCCACCACACGAGTGCGATCATAGAATCATTCTTCAACTTAGGACGGGGCCAGTGAAGGTGAGACCATACTGATACCCCTACAGTCAAAAACTAGAGATAGAGAAAATGGTAGGTGAATTATTACAGCATGGTTTGATTCAGACTAGCATAAGTCCGTTCTCTGCACCTATTATACTGGTTAAAATAAAAAGATGGTTCATGGCAAATGTGTGTTGATTATCGAACCCTGAACGAGGTTATTGTGAAAGACTCATTCCCAATGCCCACAGTGGATGAGTTGCTAGATGAGTTAGGCGGTTCGGTGCATTTTTCCAAATTAGATCTTAGAGCTGGCTACCACCAAGTAAGAATGCACCCAGAAGACAAGGGGAAAACAGCATTTCAAACGCATCAGGGCCTTGATGAATGCTTGTTATGCCATTTTGTTTTACAAATGCATCTGCAACTTTTCAAGCTTTAATGAATTATGTGTTTAAATCTTATCTGCAAAAATTTGTGCTAATATTCTTAGAAGTTGTTGAACGTGATCTCTTAATTAATAATATTTCTAAAAGTTTGATAAATGATAGAGCACAATGGCGTCTTGCAATCCATGTAGCCGACCCCACCTAGTGGGATAAAGGCTTGTTGTTGTTGTTGTTGTATTCTGTGATGATATATTGATTTATAATAGGTCATGGTCTCAACACTTAGAGCATGTTGAACTAGTGTTACAAGTAATGCTTCAACACAAATTAAATGCTAAAAGGTCCAAGTGCACTTTTGGCAGAACAAAGGTGGAATATCTAGGGCATATCATGTCTGCTCAAGGAGTAGCCATGGATGACTCCAAGGTAGCAGCAGTGCTGCAATGGCCGATTTCCCAAAATATCCCAACTTTGCAGCTTTTTAGGCCTCATTGGTTACTGTCGACGTTTTATATGACAATATGCACGATTGGCGAGCCCGTTGACCAAACTCTTTTGGAAAAATGGTTATCAGTGGTCAGACAAGGCTGAGATAGCCTTCGAAGAGCTTAAGCATGCTCTCAGTGAGACTCCAGTACTTGCTTTCCCCAACTTTTCTCAACCCTTTGTGGTTGAAACAGACTCTTCTGGCTGTGCAATAGGAGATATCCTCAGTTTTTTCTCCAAACAGATATCCGGTCGCATGTAAGCTCAGTCAACATATGTTATAGAATTGTACGCCATCACATGGGCTGTGGCTAAGTTTTGGTACTACCTTTTTGGGCACACTTTCACCATTCAAACTGATCAAGAGAGTTTATAACACTTGGATCGTTAGGTGTTGCAGACCCCCGAACAAAAAGCTTATCTTCCAAAACTGATGGGGTATCACTTTACTATTAAGCATCGACCAAGAAAAAACAAACCTTGCTGTTGATGCACTGTCGCGAGTGACATCTATGGCCTTGCATCAACTGTAGTCAACTTTGTTTGATGTCATAGCTGCGGCTTCTCAGCAGTCAGGGCGCTTGCAATAGCTCTGTGCTGACATTGTTAGAGAGCCTGACCGCTTAGTTGGTTTTATGGTTCAGGATGGTATTTTATATTATAACAACAGGGTGGCGGTGCCTCATGAGGATACTGAGTTGTTGCAACAAATCTTGTCTGAATTCCACTCATCTATCATTGGTGGTCACGTAGGCTTTTAGCAGACTTTTCGCCGGATATCTGCTACGCTCTATTGGCCTAATATGCAACGTGATGTTAAGTGTTTTGTACGTCAATGCATGACTTGCCAGTGGGCTAAAATAGCTCAAATTCTACCTGCAGGTCTTTTCTGCCTCTTGCCCATACCCAACCAAATCTAGGACTCCTTTAGTATGGATTTTATCACTATTCTGCCTCTAGTACGCTAGTACTCTATTATCATGGTGATCACTGATAGGCTATCCAAATACGCACATCTCACTCCACTGCGTGCAAATTATACTAGCTAACAGGTGGCCGAAGCTTTCTTAGTGAATGTTGTTCGTTTACATGGGATGCCCAGCTCTATTGTCTCCAATAAAGATGAAGTCTTTACTAGCTCTTTTTGGCGCTCCCTTTATCAAATGCAAGATGTTCAATGGCTTACGAGTTTTGCATACCGACCCAAAACTGATAGTCAGTCAGAAGCTCTAAATAGGTGTGTCGAGATGTATCTCCGTTGTTTTGTGAATGATTGCCTACATCGATGGCTCGATCTCCTTCCTTAGGTAGATTATAGTTATAATATGTCTTTTCATTCGGCCATTGGAATGATTCCTTTTCAAGTTGTATATGGTCGTGAGCCACCCTCGCTCATCACTGGCTACACCTCTTCTGATACACCACTTGATTTGCATGACCAACTTCGCAAGCGAGATGTCTTGTTGCATCGTCTCAAACAACATATTCATCATGCTCAGGACTGTATGAAGAAATATGCAGATCATTTTTGATGCGATGATATCTGCAAGTGATTGGGTCCTTGTTAAGTTACAGCCATCCCGTCAAAACTCAGTCGCTCTCCGACATCATCAGAAACTAGGTATGCGGTACTTTTGTCCTTTCAAAGTAGTGGAATGTATCGGGTCTGTCACTTACCTTTTGGAGCTCCCATCTCATGCTAAGATTCACCCAGTGTTTCATATTTTGCTCCGTAAGCTTTGCCATAGTGAGCCAGATGGATCCTACATGCCTCTTCCCTTATTGACTACACCAGAAGGGCCTATTATTTATCCTACGGAGATTCTTCTGGTTCATCAGGTTTATCGTGGTTTTGCTTAGGTTACATAGGTGTTTGTCTACTGGGATGGGTCACAAGATAACACATGGGAAGATGCGGCGTCTCTTCTTTCAGGATACCCATCTCTTGACCTTGAAGACAAGGTCAATCTTGTAGGAGAGGCCATTGTCAGGAATGGGCCTGATTATAAGGGGCCTGACCCTGTAGAGGTCCAGAATCATGTTACTGATGATGGACTGCTAAAGAATGTTGAGTCAGCTGAGAATGTTGAGGCTCACGACTGTTCACGTGAGGAGGACCTACAAGACCAAGTGCCTACCATGCCAACGGTGTTGCGTAGAAGCAACCGCTCAGGGAGAATCACGTGGAAGCTGAGAGAGGCTAGGGAGGGATTGGGAACTTATATAAAGAGGCCGAGGATCTGTTAGAGTGTGTGCTTTTTGAGTGATGGATTCTCCTCTGTTATTCTGCAAGTTTTCTCCCTTATGTAATTCTCCTATGTTTCTTCTATTTTCTCCTCTCTGTGACTAAACTTCTCATAAATAATACCTTGAGCTAGTTGATATTCTATTGTTTCTGTTATTTTAATTGCACAAGCCGTGACATTTTGATTTTGCAGATTTTCTTACTCAAGTGAATGAGGACCAATATTAATAATAGGTCTAGAAGCTTCGACTTTTTGTGAAGGTGAAGGTTAAATGGCATGCTTTCAAATTGTGAAATTACAACTTGACTTGCGGACTCTCTTGTGCTTTTTAGTTTAGATGTTGGCTTAGCTTGTCTCTAAATAATGTACTCTCATAATTTTTTGTAGAGAGGATGACATTTAAGGTGATCTCAAGGTTGTGATGAATTGTTTTAATGCCACCAAAGTTTTGTTCCATTTGAATTCTGGTCTTCTGGATTACTTTAAGAAGAGTTTGAAGCGCAGGCGACTTATGGTGTATCCAGCAGAGCCACCTTCGTACACGAGAGCTTGTATTTCCCGTCATTTCAGTTCATTGTTATTTCAGATTAAGATTTTCCATCCAGAATGGTAGTCAACATTTCTCGTTAAATTGTTGATGATGGTGTTTTGTCCTCGTTAATTGAATGTTTTATCCCCGTTAATTGAATAATGACAATTCCTAAGGAGTGGTGCAAGAATTATAATGTCCACCATGCTTATAATATAGGTTAAATTTTTAATAACAAAAAATATCCTCTTATATATTTCCCATAACCTTATTATATTCTTATAAATAAAATCAAATTTTCCCCTAAATTCTAACCTGATGACTGAAAGTTTTTAAGATTTTTTTTTTATTTAGTTCCAATAAGATTTGAAGGACATCGAATTTTATGCGAAAAATAAGATTCAAAGTACCTCGAATTTTAAATGAAAATAATTTTAATTGAATAAAACGTTCATCCCCTACGAGTTAACAGACGCAAAAATTTAATTTCAATAAATGCCATCTTATTGTATATATTTTCCATAACTCTATTAAAATTAGCAATTTATTCACGCCTCCCCCCCCCCCCTTCTTTCAAACACGATAGTTGGACGTTTCATCATTATTCTGTTTGGAATCTGAATCCTTAATTATCCTTCAATACTTAGTAATTAGTCATTAGTCGTTAGTATTATAATTAACCCTTCAATGAGGGGATTTTACAAAAGCCAACCAAACTAAGGTGTTTTAAGATCAATATGATTCAATATGTCGCAAATA